TGTAATGATTCAGTGAAAGGCTGAAAGGACACTGACAGCATCAGATGTCAATGGTTGTATCATTCTTCTTTTGATTTTTTTTTCTAATATGGACTTCTCTGAGATCTACAAATGCCTATTCCTTGCAGCTTACCTTGCTTTAGATGCCATAGGAAATTAGTTAGAGAAGAGGATAGATTCTCTGTAGTGGGTGTAACTTATGATGTGACTGGGAGAGTTCTCAGTGGTATGATATTACTTTACATTTATTGTTCTGTCTTCCTCCTCTACACTCTAGCATTTGCCCTATGGGAGTCTTAGAGGGAGTATTTGAGGAACATTCTTGGAGTTCAAAACTCTTTTCAAAGTAAGATGAGCCAAAAGAGATTAGATGTAAGCACATAACATGAATTATGTTCTTGGGAAGAATAAAGTTTATTGAAAAGTAAGCTGCAGTGTTTCCAAACCACCCTATGTTGTCCATAAAAACTGTTAGGAAGTTTAAACAAGCCCTTTTTGAAAGAGCTATAGATCCACTGAGTTGAACTGTTGTCCTTCCACTCCCTATACCTGCTGAATTTAGAGCACTGTACCAAAAGCCACGGTTTCTTTCACTTTCATCAGTCAACAGTCACCATAAGTTGTGCAAACATTTTTCCCCTCACATCCCTTGAATGCACTATTCTTTTTTTTCGTCTTTCTTCAGATGAAGCCTCAAACTTTAAAGGTAGCTTATACTGCTTAGTGTGCTTTTACCATGACTGGCTTCAGCTGCTTTGCTGTTGTATTGAATCTGAACCCCCCTTACACAGAGTTCTTGTGCACAGGGAGTCTTTAAAATGCTTCCACCATCTGTCACATGTGCAGAAGATTTGGCATTTATCTCAGACTAGCTCAGGCTGGCCTGTTTGTTCTCAGCCAAACCATAATCACTGTAATACATTATTAATTATAATAAAATAATTCCAGATTTTGCCTGTAGTTCATTAACTAACTTCCTGCATGAATGACTATAAGTCTTCTTCTGGTGTTTATCTGAGTAGATGAGCCTTGAGTTGGAATATTGTACTTTTGGAAAAGCAACTTTTTCAGAGTTCAAAGGAGTACTGAACTGGGAGCCCTGTTTCATAGGGTTGATAGTTTCAGAAAAGGCTGAGAGATATCATGAACAGTAACTTAAAATCCTAATAGTATACGATGCCTCTTCTCATGCTATAAAATTTTTGCAGCATGTTGAAATTGCTGATGTTGTTTGGAATTTAACCCTTTGGGATGTTTGGTGGGCAGGCATCCTTTATATATTGTTTTTCTATCCAGATGCTTCTACACAAGGTGTATTTCAGCACTGTGCTAATACTGTGCTTTCTGCCATGTGTCCCTGCAGGTTGGTGTTGATGTGATTGCAGTTGTGCTGTGTTGCAACTATTACCTGTTCACTTTGTTGCTTCTGGTAGCAGAGCAGGATTTACTATGGATAAAGGAATTGCATATAGCACAGT